AACATCTTCATCATGCTGAATTCTTTTTCTTCTTCAGCAGAGCTGGCTGGTTCAGACAGCAGTAAGTCAAAGAGGCCACAGATGTTAGGTAGCTCCTCCTTAACCCCAGGGATGATAGTAGCCCTTGTTTGGCCTTTCTTGCTATGCTTGGTGAAATTAAGTAATGAAATAGATGGGAAAATGTTTTAAAGTTGTTATTTTGTGCTCATTTAAAGTTATTATATTATATTAAGTAGTGTTTTACCCAGTATAATTTGTCAAATTTCCCATCACGAAAAACCGATTCCTGAGAAATTAAAAATAACACCACCCAGACCACTTTATTCACTATTCACAACAACAATCTTCTGATTTGTAAGTATTCCTACAATTGCGACCCTGTACTTTTTCGTTTTTTTTTCGACATGAAACATTATTAACCATGAAATATATCATCATCTCAAACAATCTGTCTGTTTCTCATTTATTTACATAAGTTGATATACTGAATGAAAGGTTGAAAAACAATGCTCTGCACATCATGAACCTTATGGACCATACATTAGCAAACAATCACTAACAGCACCCTATCCACAGAGCTAATTTACATGGGGATCGACGTGGTGAAGTTCTTGGGACAATATGCCATGTGGCTCCCCATTAGTACCTCACTGTGTATTAGCTCATTGTTTGGGGAGGTTGCTGAAGAGTGCAGGACAACAGAGTGATTGGGAAGTTGGAATGTCCCATTACTTTCCAGAGGGTTTTTTGGTCTTTTGTTCAAATTTCACATGTGACTGTCGGAGATGTCACTAGAAGTTGAAAATGGTAAAAAGGTATATACAAATATTTACAAAATACCTAACCTATTGGACAGCTGTGGAACATTACATTTTATCATTTAACAGTCCTGTTACTTATGAATATGCATAATTCCAAGATGTTCCTTTAAAGTTAGTTGTGGCTCGACAAATGTGATTGCTGACTGGTTAGGTTGCTTCTGAATGAGAAAACTAGAAAGTTTGAGTTTTTTGAGTAGGAAGCAAATGGTTGATAAACAAGAATCATGAGGGTGGGCAATTGTTGTAACCAACTGCCCATTGCACCTGTAACTAGCAGGAGAGTGTATACATCTTTATTGGCAGTAAAAGCTAATATTTCGTGATTTTAGACAAATGTCAAAAGTGACACAGTGTAAGTGTTGAGATTTGAAACACATTTGATAAAAGCATGTTTGTTGAACTAGAAGGTGATAAATTATAAATAATTCAACCAGCACGATGCGAGTTTTCTTTATCATGATGTACTTAAAGTTGTCATTTCTTTTTTCCTTTTTTAAATGTTGGAAAGTTTATCATTACTTATGCAATAAAGGTACAATTAGGAGCATTTTTTAATAAGGCGAATTTAAAAAAAATCTTTCGAAAACTGAATTTAAAATTCCTATCTTTACAAACGAAAACTTTCAAACACAGTCACTTTATGGTTGACCTATGGTTGAAAAACTTGTTTGGTTTAGTTCAAAATGTGTAGAGTGATAACAAAAGACTTCGAACTTATGCCTCGAGTGAATGATGAATTTAGGCAATGAACCTCAACAGTATGTCTCTTACAATGATCATATAATGCTATGTATCAATTGTGTATGAGCCACAAGATCAGTCCACATTTTTATTTTCCACTTGTTCAAATAAAAAATGGAAAAGAGATTGTGATTTTTTTCATGGCACATTTATTGATAACTTCAACCATTTGAAGTTTAATTAAGCTCCAAAATACATTCTCAGTAGTCACTACAATTTTTAAGGTTGAACTGTCAAAAATTCTTTAAAATGACATCATCAACTATACTCTCCTCACAACAAGAACATCACTTTCATTAGAACTGTATGTGAATGTTTGATTATATCTTTATTGATGTATGTCAAGAACTACTTTTTAGTAGTATATATAGTAATGTAAATATATGGGTGTGTTGGGCTAAGGATTCTTTTATAGTAGGTGTCTGTGCCTTGTTGGCGATAATCGACAATAAACAAACAACATGCACTCCACTTGTTTGTAAAATAATATATATATATTCGAAACAAGTTAAATGTACATACAAAAATTCTTTACACCATGGAGATCAGAGTTGTATCTTAAACACTATACAGTTCTCTTCTTCTTGTCAAAAGTCCATTTAGGTCAATTCAATTGCTTTAGAATTAAGTTGACGAACCAAACTATTTTTCTCTGTTTTTATCGCAGTAGTATCCGTGTATAATTCACTTACACTGTTGTGTAAGTTACTGCAGTTGTATCCCAAACTTCCAGTAATTGTCTGCTTTTCATATTTCCAATAATCGTCTGCCTTTTGTCAAAGTCCACAAAGGTGGGCTCAATTAGCTTAGAACACCCTTTGATAAGACAAGTTATTTTCCATATCTCTTTCAAACTGTTAATCTCACTCTAAAATATCAACCATTAGGCCATTCACTCCCAGCTTCGTTAACTTTATGTTTTCTAGATTTTCTCTGACTGAACTTGTCTTTCACATGACTTACTTTCAGTCTCATTCTGCTCGTCTGGTCACAGCTATTTATATGTCTATCACTTAGTCTTTCTAGAAATCTCTATAGCCTCGACATCAGTGAATTACAATCACAAAATAAATAAATTAATAATACTACCTATGCTAAACAGTCTTTTATATCTGACAATGTAATTTTCAAAGGTAGTTTTTAGAAACTGGAGTTCTTAAAAAAACAATCGTTTTTTTCAATAAATGATACCACTTTTAATATATAAAAACATTACAGTTTAATACTACATTTAGTAATTACTAGCACAAACAGCTACCCATAGGGTGCCATTTCTGATAGCATGAATAAATTTGACATAAAAATGGAGTTAATAATCCAGGTTTTAATATTATATATGTTTTAAGTTCTTAATTTTATAAGGTAGTATTAAAAAATTGACATTTTTTTCTCTGGTAATCCCCTCTTCTCTAACTTATTTGACACCCCTCCAAGATGTATGAAATTTTTTATTATAATGTTGCCATCACTTGGGCAAAGCATAATTTTTAAGAGACATCAAATAGAAAAATCAGACCCCTCTTGATATGCCCACTTGCCACATCCACTCTTACAGGATTTGTCAGTAGTTCTCTCTTATGTTTAATACTATGTTATTTATAACCGATAGAAAACCAAGATTTTAATGTATCAAATGAAGTATTATACTATGTTGTTTTCTATACAGAGAATTATCTATTTCACTTCCAGTTCAAACTTTATTTCTATACAAAACATGTTAACGAGCTTAGATGAATGTTTAAGGCTCTTGTTGCATAGTTAGAAAGCAGTTATGGGACATTGTCTGCTGTTTGCATGTTATTATTCTATGTTCTTTAGTACATTATTTAATTAAATCTTCTGTACAGAGAATTATCTATTTCACTTCCAGTTCAAAGTTTATTTCTATGAAAAACATGTTAACGAGCTTAGCTGAATTTTTAAGGCTCTTGTTGCATAGTTAGATAGCTAGAAAAATTGTGATAGTTATGGGACATTGTCTGCTGTTTGCATGCTATTATTCTATGTTCTTTAGTACATTAGTTAATTAAATAAGCAATTTAGTATAGTAGTACCATTAGTTTATAAAAGGTCGGGTTAAGTTTCCTCGACATTTAACAGCAAAAAAAGAAGACCCAGGCAAGTACTTTATTTCTTGTTTTTCATGTGTATTCTTTACTTATTGTTATAAAAGTAACTAAAATGTAAAAATTAGTTACTTTTAGGTTAAAATAATGAATAATAATATAAAAATTTCATGAGGTATGCTTGCAAGGTATGTAATTCAATAGGGGTAACATAAGCTACACATTTGCCAAGTGAGTTACAACTTATATGGTGCGAATATTAGTTAGACATGGTTTAAAGGGCAATAAAACAATAAAATTTAAGTATAAACATGTATAATGTTACAAGTTTAAAGCTATTTAGGGTAAACAAATCTAGTTTCATGTTACAATTTGAAGATATTCTAGAAAGAAAGAAAG